GGAGACTGTGGGTACACACCTGCACCCCACCAACAGCAGGGCTGGGGCAAGAAGGAGGGCCAGAGCTTCCTGTTCTGTGCCTGCAGGATCCTTAGGTTTCCCCCCGCAGGGCAGTGTGAGGGAGCTGAAGAGCCATGTTCGTCTCGCAACCCCACCCCCACGCCTGTTCTTTCGTGAGGTCTGTAAAAGCACTTAGGAGCCTTCCTTGCATGAAGGGGAAGATCATTTCACGTCCGCGTTTTATTACTGATCTCTCCCCGCTCCGTTTTCATTGCGGCCTGTCTCCTGCTCCAGTTTTTCCTTAATGTGCTGCTTTCCTATTCTTGTGAACAATCATCTCCGAACTGTCGGCATTAGTGGAGAGAAGACTTCAAGGAGAGCAGTAATTAGATGGATCGTGCGGTACTGTAGTGCTTTGTAGAAGGAACGGTGATAAAGGAAGGCTTTTCTTAGCAGGCTAGGCGGTCCCCTAACTGCCTGTGGCTCAGAGGACAGGCTCCTGTCTGCCGTCGGCCACAGGGACGGGCGCCCGCAGGAACCGGGACCTGAGCCCAGCCTGCCTGCCTGGGGGCCGCCTGCTGCTTGACCAAAGTCACTTGTTTTGCTTCCAAACTTGCTTAAGGCGGGGGGGGGGGGGGGGGGTACGTATAACCTCATTGCACAGGTAAACGTTATATAAACTGGTGAAGAGAGGGCAGCAAAAAAGATGCCACGTCCATGCAATCCAAGTTAAACGCTGAAGAAGGAATCGATAAGGTCTCTCAAACTCTTGCTGTTGAATTGGGTGCAGGTGAAGTCAAGGTTGAGCCAGAAAAGGGAAGGAAAAGTAGAGGAGGAAGCACTGTGTTCTCAGCACGTGCTCCCTCCATGGTAAGTAAACCACACACATATCACAGCCCCTCCTAGGTGTGTCTTCTCACGATAGAAACTACAATGAAGTAGCCTTAGCCTTATCCCCAAAGACAGGGGATACCTTTACATTCAAATGGACTTTAATTCAAATGGAAGCTATTCAGGGATGTGTATAACTCTCCACCACACTTTGGTCAATTGTTTCAATTATGTTTGTAATTCCCCTGGAGTGACCCAGCCCCAAACCCCAGCTGATTCACCAGTGGGTTGATCAGCCCGCCTCTCTCCACGCCAGGAAAGGGCTGGCCCCTCGCGGGCTGCTCCAGCAGGGGCCAGAGGTCCCAGGGCTTGCTGAGTGGCCAGAGGAGACTTGTCTATAAGTGAGTAGTGGGGAGTGAGCCTGATCCAGGATACCCCAAGTAGCACCATGCCCAATGGCCCACCGTTGACTCCGAGGCTGTGCCATGTGTATCACAAAAGTAGCAGCTTCCTGGGTCGTGGAAGATGAGGGTAAGGCCAGGAAGGAGATAGCATCAGGCGTGGGCAGCGAGGGAACAGAACCCGGGGGCTGTGACTTCTTCAATCAGTAAACAAAGCAAAACAGAATGCTCACTTGCTCTTCACCAGTTAGCACTGATTTCTTATACTTACAGTTCCTGCCACAGCCATTACTACATTCCACCACTAGAGGGCAACAGTGTGTCTATAATGAGGGATTCTTGCAGAACCAAGGAATCACTTAGCACCTTGGTGGGCAAATTGCGGCTTGAGAGCCAAATGCGGCTCTTTGGCATCTTGAGTGTGGCTCTTCCACAAAATACCACGGCCTGGGCAAGTCTATTTTGAAGAAGTGGCATTACAAGAAGTTTAAGTTTAAGAAATTGGGCTCTCAAAAGAAATTTCAATTGTGGTAGGGTTGATATTTGGATCTGTTGACTAATGAGTTTGTCGGCCACTGAAAGCATCATGGCATTTTGGAGCTGAGAGATATCTTAATAATTTGGTTCACCGGCTTTCAATTTTGTTCAGCTGAGAAACCCATAGAAAGAACCACATTCTTCAGCCCCATGAACCAAGAGGTCACAGTTCAATTCCTGGTCAGGGCACATGCCAGGTTGCTGCTCCCTCAGAGAGGGCAGGGGGTTGGGGGCCATGTGCAGAAGGCAGCCGATCAATGATTCCCTCTCATCATTAATGTTCTTTCTCCCTTCCTCTCTGAAATAATATATAACCACATTCTTCATAATGACCTAGTTCATACATATATATTTGAAACATTTTAAGGTACTACTTACTGGTATTTCTGCAATGTACCCTAACAGTTGGTATTCCAAATGATTGCAGTAAAAACAAACAAAAACCACACAAAACAACTGCTACCTACTAAATTGATTCCATAACCTACTAGTGGGCCATTCGTTTGAAAACTCTGACTTGGCCCCAGCATCTTGTCTTACAAAGGGACATGCTGACCCTGAGGATGGAGAGGGACCCCTCCAGCTGTGCTTTTCACCCACCCAGCCCCCTGCTCACCCTGGGGTCAGTCCTGGATGCACCACAGACACGGAGCACTCACTCTGAAAAGGCACTTCTTAGGTCTGATCAGATAATCGAATCAATACCCCTCCCCCAGGAACCGGCCTTTAGACCACTTCACAGTGGGCATTCCACTTGCCTAGACCACAATCCGCTTGCTAAGACCGTTCTCTCTCCCATCGGACTGCCCAGAATCCGAACCTGCACAGAGAACTCTCCGCCCCAAAAAGCCCGCCAAAAGCCATTTACAGACCGCCGACTCCTGTCACTGGGTGCTGGAGCCATCCTGGCTCAGCCACCTGGTGTGCGGCTGATCGAATAAATTCGTAATCCCTCACCATTCTGGCCTGGTGCGTTCCTCCTTCGGTAACCTGACAACACTGACTGGATAAAGACTGCAAACCTGAGTTTTGGGGACCTGCCATTTTCACTTATCAATGCTTTGGCCTCATAAGTAGAAATTACTAAGTTGCTACACTGAAAGCTTCATGAGGGTGGGGTCGCTGCTCCTCACTAAGGCAGCCGAGTGGCTGCCGAACTGAGCGATTCTCAGAGGCCTTCCTACTGATCCCACCCCAACCTAGGGTAGGGCCATACTTACTACCTAGCCCAGGGCCTGGCACACAGTAAGTGCTCAATAAACGAGTGGATGAATGGCCTGTCCCTCAGTCTAATGGTAACTAACCTTTTTATACTTTACAATTGGTGCTCAGATCACCTTATACGGCTCTTAAGGATAACTGGCGTGGTGGGCAGGACATGAATTGTTTCCATTCCAAGTGGGAAAATAGCCGGAAAGGACTCACAGGACCTTCTCTGCAGGTTGTGCAGCTCCTTGGAGGCAAAGCAAGGCGCTGGAATGTGGGTTCCCTACAGTACCTCACCTGCTGACCCCCTTCACCCCAATATTTTGGGAAGGCAGTCCACGGCAGTGCCTCAGTGAGAGCCGGCACTCACTCTGGGCCCCCTCTTCTGCTTCTGCCACCCCCAAGGATCCTGGCGTGCTGTTGTCACAAGCTGAAGACACAGCCTGCCCCAGGCTGCCTGGATCACCTGGAGGTGAGCCCTTGTGGTGATATTTGGAGGAGGCAGGAAAATAATTTCACTGAATTCCTGGGAGGAACTGAAACCACTGTGGCCTCTAGAGATCCTTGGCACTGGAAGTCCCTAATGGCATCTGAGCTGGTTTTCTGTAGGGAATCCCCCTGCTGGTAACCCGGGAGCAGGTATCAGGAATGCCCTCTGGGCGGGGGCTGCTCTCTGCTACTTGGAGACAGAGTTCCAAAGCTCTGGACTCACTGGTTTGTTGGGCTAGTAAAACGGAACCTTTTTCTCCCCAAGACAGCAAGGATTTTTAAAAACAGGTGACAAGAATAGGTAGCCTTTTCCTAGAAAGGATTTGATTTCCTCATTCAGTACATGGAGCCACTCTAGCTGCAGAATTAAGACTTTGTGGAACCAGGGCTGAGCCTCCTGATGGCCTTCCCTACCCCTGTGTCTGGCACTCGTTCGAGAACAATCTCCGACTAGAATCCTCCTGACTCCGCTTTAAAACTCTACCCATTTATACACCACACTCAAGCCTAGATTCTCTGAGGCTGAGGCTGCAGGCTCTCCGGAATGTTTGAGAGTCCGAGGAGGGAGAATGGTGAGTTTGGGGGCAGACCTCAGTGTAGTTCTGTTTGTAACCTTTTAGTTCTGTGGTTGGCAAACTGTGGCTCTTTGGCCCCTTGAGTGTGGCTTTTCCACAAAATACTATGGCCTGGGTGAGTCTATTTTGAAGAAGTGGCGTTAGAAGAATAAATTTAAAAACTTTGGCTCTCCAAAGAAATTTCAATCATTGTACTGTTGCTATTTGGCTATATTGACTAGTGAGTTTGCCGACCACTGTATCTAGGTGAAGAGAACAATGTAGCTACAGCTAGGGCCACAGCCAACGCCTTGTAATCAGCAACCCCACCACCAGCTGTAACCTTCTCGCTCATCCGGTCCACATGGAAAACAGCCCGGTTCGCCCGCTCCCATTAGATGAAGGCAGGCGCCGCATCACCGAGGTTCCTGCTCAGGAAGGCGTGTCCACTCCGGCCACATCCCGGAGCCTCGCAAAGGCCAAGCTCCTCTGCCGGCGGCCGGGCGTGAGTATTAACTTAGAATTTGCAAATCCCGCCCGGGCTTCCGCTGCAGCCACTGGGTGTCGCGCCCGCCGTGGCCACCCCAACCCTGGGCATCCCCAGACAGGAGCAAGCCTTGCCTGTGGGTCTGTTCCTCAGTTTCCCCAGACACCTCTCCCAGGTGCAGGAGATGCCCTGGGAAAAGCGAATGGCCTCGCCAAAGCCGGGAAGAACCAGCCCGTTTTCCAGGGGCTCTGAGCTCCGATGTGCGCCTCGAAGGCCTGGGAACCGCGGGGCGCCCAGGCTCCAGCCCGGCCTCGGCGCGCGCCCCTCGCCGTCACCACCCGCTCGGCGCGTGGCGGGTCCCCCCGGCGCGCCCGCCGCGTCCCCCGGGTCCCCCCGCACTCACCCGCGCACGGCCCCGCTGGTCCACCCCCAACCCTCCCCGCACACACCCGCGCACGGCCCCGCTGGTCCACCCCCAACCCTCCCCGCACTCACCCGCGCGCGGCCCCGCTGCACGGAGGCCAGCGCCCGCAGCGCGGAGGGCGAGCCCGCGCGGAAGTGGAAGAAGTGCAGCGCCGCGCGCGCCGCCTTCTGCAGCAGCCCGTGCGGGAGCTCGGGGTCCAGCTGCCACCCCGAGGCCTCGCCGGGAGCCTCGGAGCCCGCGGGGGCCGCCGCCGCGCCCCGGAGGGCCAGCAGCAGCAGCAGCAGCAGCGCGGGCAGCGGGGCGGCGGGGCGCGGGCCCCCGGGCGCGGGCAGCGCTTGCTGGCGGGGCTGCATGGACGCGGGAGCTGGCGCTGCGGTCCACGGGCGGGGTTGGAGCGGCGCTGGGGAAATAGGGCCGCGCGGCCCCTCCCCTCCCCGCCCCCGGGCGGCCCTGCAGGGAGCCGGGTCCCCACGGGCCGCGCCCTCCGGGGGTTCCCGCAGACCCCGCGCCTCTGCGCCCTGCGGGGGCCCCGGGGCAGCAGGTGGCGGGGCCTAGAGCCCGGACGTGGCGCCTGGGTGACCCGGGTTCGGGACCCGGGGGCCGTGGAGACGCCTCCCCACAGGGGAGCGCGGCCCACTCGGCGCCACCCAGCACCTCCCTCTGGCCTGGCTCGCGCACCTAGAGTTCCTCCCCCGCGGTGGCTGTCATCTCCAAACTCAGGGTTTCACTGCTCCGTCCGTTCTTCCCCCAGGCTTGGCGCTGTGCCCTCCCGCAGGGTGAACGTGGGGACGGGCATTTTGGGGTCCCTGTGGCGCAGTGACCTGGAGAGGGGGACAGTGACCTGGAAAGGGGAGGAGGGTGGTTTGGCTGGAGCGCTGGGGCTGCGGAGGGAGCTGGAGCTGTCAGCAGAGCAGAGTCAGATCAGGACCAGGAGGACTTTGAAACAAATAGGTCACCCATAGCCCGGGTGCGGAGCCCATTGGCTGGGCGTGGAAGCCGGATTCCAGCGGGGTGTGCACGAGCTAGGGTGTTGACATAAGTTTTTGGACACGTGGCAGTGAAGGGGTGAGCTGCCATTGTTTTAAACCCACGGACCAGAGAGAAAGCCCAGCCCGGCCTGTGTTGTTCAGTGGTTGAGCTTCGACCTATGAACCAGGAGGTCACTGGGTTCGATTCTGGAGTGGGCACATGCCTGGATTTTGGACTTGATCCCCAATAGGAGGCGTGCAGGAGGCAGCGGATCAAAGATTGTCTCTCATCATTGATCTCTCCCTCTCTCTCCCCCTCTTCCTCTCCCTCTCCCTTTCCCTCTCCCTCTCCCTCTCCCTTCCTCCCTGTAAAAAATCAACTGTGTGTGTGTGTGTGTGTGTGTGTGTGTGTATATATGAAAAGAGGTTGGGATGGGGTGGTAGGCAATGTGTGGTTGGCATTGCCAGGTCGGTGATGTTGTTGCCAGATCTTTTATCCCACATCCCAAAGGCATGCCCCTGTCTTAGGGCAAGCTGAGCTCTAGTCAACAGCTACGGACTTCCTAGAAGTCCCACAGCACACTCCTGCTTAGATTCCATTGGCAAGAACTTAATCATATTCTTAGTTTACATAAGAGGCTGGGAAATGTAGCCTTTATTCAGGGCCATGTGCCAGAATAGAAGTCAGGATTTTGTTCCTTAGGAAGAAGATTGTGTTTTCCGTTGGTGTCCCAGAAGCAGGCCTTGGAACAAACACTGCATGCACGTGGTTTCAGAAGGAAACACTTGCAGGAGAAACCAGCAGAAGGAGAGTAGCTGTGATCTCAGAAGAAGTTACACGAAGGGGAACTTCACCTGACCTGCAGGAAGGCTTTGGAATGTAAATCACGCCTCAGAGCTGTCCCCACCCCAGCAGGGGGTCTGGGCTTCCATACTTCTATGTCATGGCTAAGGCCCCCCCCCCCCCCCGCCCCCCCGCTGACAAAGCCCAGGGCGCAGAAGGGCAGGGCGGCCCTCCTGGGGGTCACAGATGCCTCAGGTTGGAAGCAAAAGCACGCCAGATGGTAAGGTCAAAAAGAGGGAGCCCAGAGAGCCAGGCAGAGCCCCCGTGGGGTCACTGCAGGGAGAGTGGATAGTGGCAGGCAAGTAGCCATCTCTGTTGCTGAGGTGGGGAAGGGGGAAGGGGGAAGGAGTCAGGGTCCAGGCACAGCAGCCAAATAGTGCCTGGGAGGCAGTGAGAGTCGGAGGTCACAAACAGGAGGGAGACAGACACACAGGAAACAGAGGGGAACACAAGCTGCTGCCTGAACACAGGGGCCCTTCCAAGGCCTGCTGCTTTGTGTAGCAATAACAACCATGAGGGAACCCTGTGTGGGAGTCCATTCTGGGGGACTCTTTCCTTCTCTCCACATGGGAGTCTGTACCTGTTCTTCAATAAATCTCCACCTTTGCTATAAAAAAAATAAATAACAATTAGAGCAGACTGGTATTGACCAGGAGCACATATTTAAACATTTTAAAATTCTAGCTTTCATGTCTCCCAGTGTGGGCAGAGGTGAGGTATCCATGTACACCTCACGCCGGTACATCCTCAAACAGTTTTTGGTGAGGTTCCCATGCGCTAATATCTATGCATATGTAGGGCACTCAGGACAGTGCCTGCCCCACAGTGAGGGTTCGCTAGGTACGTGATCACGATTATTATTGCTAATAACTTGCCAATGTAAGAAACATCCAAACTTTTAAGAATTTTTATGAGTTTATTTGAGCCAAACTGACAATTGCCAGGAAGCAAAATCTCAGCGGGTTGAGGAAGTGCTCCAGGGAGCGGTGGTTATGCACTGGGTGAGATTCATTGGTGATGGATTGGGGAGGCGGGAGAAAGCAAAGAGGGGGAATCTCTGGGATTGCATGAAAAGTAAAATGAGTAGACACATATTTCTTTAAAAAAAAAAATACATTTTATTGTTTTTTTACAGAGAGGAAGAGAGAGGGATAGAGAGCTAGAAACATCAATGAGAGAGAATCATCGATCAGCTGTCTCCTGCACACCCCCTACTGGGAATGTGCCCGCAACCAAAGTACATGCCCTTGACCGGAATCGAACCCGGGACCTTTCAGTCCGAAGGCCAAAGCTCTATCCACTGAACCAAACCGGTTTCAGCGACACACACTTCTTTACCCTTGTGGGTATCAGACAGTTCACAGCCGGTAAGTAAAGGATAACAGATCTGTGGCCTCTAGTAAGAGAAGATACCTTGACATCCCAAAGGTATGTTATCTTAAATGCAAAAATACAACATACAGGTTCAGCTAAGGTAGAGATTGACCGTTGTCAGAGTAGATACCAGCCTCAGACGTGACTACCCAGCATGACTCCCTTTTAGTTAAGAAGCTTTAATTTTAGGTCATCCTGTGGTTACTTCTGGCCTCTGAGTTTGTAAGACTCAGGTCTCCCCCGAACTTGTCAGGTTTAGTGTGTGGCTCTGTTTTTATCCACAAGCTTAAAAAAAAAATTAGGTATACTCTTGGAAAGAATGCCATCAGCTATGGATGTCTTTTCATATGTGTTCTCAGGTGTGACTGATGGACCTTCCTGATGTCACCCCAACTTCATGGGGCATGCATCTATCTTCCCTTTGTTTAGTCTCGGGGAAGGTGAAGGTGTACCTTCCTGGTGGAGCTGCCCATATGACGTGCCTGTAATATTTGGCCTTCCCTTTGCGCCTTTCCTATGAGAAAGGAAGGTGAGGACGAAAAACTGCCAGGCCATGAAACAAAACCTTAGCTATTACTCTTAGCCTTCTTGACCCTAATCTTGTGCTATCAGCAAGTCAGGAAATGTGACTCTGTCATCTTTTTTTATTCTTCTTCTTGGCAGAGGTGCAGGTTGGTGGGATTGGGAGGAGCATGTGAATAATCAATCCTTGACTATTGAAAGCTGAATGGCTGAGCCCGGGTGTGACCGAGACGATCCTTATCTCCCAGCCTGGGGATTAGGGATGCAGGTGGAGAAAATGCAGCTCACCTGGTTCTTTGGGTCTGGCCTTTGTTTTGGTTCAACAAGCCCTGTGAACCTACATATTTCCCATGGCATGTCTCGGCCTGTAATGTTTGTCCTAAACCTCCGGGGGAAAGAACAGAGTCATGTCTGATGCGGTGAGCTGCTTTCCTAGAACATCTGGCTTCCTGATCTCTTCCTTTAGGTGCCTGGGACTCTGGGGGAATTGACAGTGTCCTAAACCCTGGGCCCATGAGCTATCAGTAACGCTAGAAGCAAAACCAGTGTCCAGAGTGTCCAGTCCATGTTGGAACCAGGTCCAGCCGCAGTCCATGAGCTCATGGTGTGTGGAGTCCACACGGCTTTGTGTGTGCAGGTCCCAAGCAATAAGAGTCCCAAGAACACAAGAGGAACCAAGAGAGTGAACTCCTTTGTTTAAGGGATTAAATGTCCCAAATTTTATGCCCATTCTGGCCAACGACCTGTTCTCAGGTGTGACTGATGGACCTTCCTGATGTCACCCCAGCTTCATGGGGCATGCGTCTATCTTCCCTTCGTCTAGTCCCCTGGGGAAGGTGAAGGTGTACCTTCCTGGTGGAGCTGCCCATATGACATGCCTGTAATATTTGGCCTTCCCTTTGCGCCTTTCCTATAACTAGGTTAATTGCAGCGGTATCATTATCTCGTTTACTCTCCACACTTTAGAGGCGTAAACCTGGGGCCATAGGATATCACCCTTTCATTATACAGGATAGCTAAGCCCACGTTGTCTGTCAGATGAATGAATAAAAAAGCTGTGGTACAGGGACACAGTGAAATACATGTGGCTTTAAAAAAGAAGAAAACCTTGCCTTTAGGGACAGCCTGGATGAACCTGGAGATTATTATGCAAAGTGAAACACACCGGTCAGATAATAATCAAGGTAAGTGACTTGCCCAAGGTTGCACCACTAGCAAGGGACCGGGAGGGAAGCCACACTGAGGTCTGGCCACCCTTTCTCCGGGGACCGTCTTTGATGTTGTGCCACCAGAGACGCCAGATGGACTGGAGGGATTCAAACACAGCAGCAATTTGTCTCATTTTCGGTTCTTACAAGTGTATTTCTAGTATCACATGATCTCACTCATCTAAGGGAAATAATGAATAATATAAACTGATAAACAAAAACAGACCCGGAGACAGGGAAGCATCGATCAGACTATCAAACCTCAGAGGGAAGATAGGGGAGGATGGGGGTAAGGAGGAAAGATCAACCAAGGGACTTGTGTGCATGCATATAAGCCTAACCAGTGGTCACTGACAGCAGAGGGTTGGGGGCATGCATGGGGAGGGGTTTGGGATGGGAACGGGGAAATGAGGACAAATATGTGATATCTTAATCAATGAAGAAATTAAAAATAAATAAAAAAACCCAAAAAAACAAAAAACAAACA